CGTCTGGTAACTCCCCACAGCAGAGCACAGCCCTGCCAGCTCTCTCGAGGCACGTCTGGGGAGGAGATGCATTACAGAGCGAGTCTGTGTGGCACCAGTGCTCCAGGTGTAACTGGGAGCAATCGGAGCAGCAAACACGCACTTTCCCATGAGCCCAAGGAAAGCAAATCGGGCACACCGAGAGCTACGCGACAGGGAACAGCGGTGTAATGAGTCCGCAGCTATAACCGAGCGCCCTGCACAGCCAGAGTATAAATTACCCACGTCCAGCCACGGTGATGTCATATGCACAATCTCTGTAATTCCTAATTCCCTTGCTCCCCACACACCCTCTTCCTTCCTCCTGTTCAACAGAGACTGGAAATGCAGCAGCTTTTGCGATCTGCCCGAGCACTGCGACTGAGTCACGACTCCCCAGTTAAACAGAAAGGAGCAGTCAGACTTCTTCCCCTTAGCCGGGAGCGCCCGGGGGCTCCGCCACGTTCCCTCCGGACTCGCTCCCCGAGGATCCGGCAGGGAAGCGCTCCCGGGCAGGGCAGGCGCTCCTCGCCCCGGGGGGACCCGCCGAGCGGTCCCGGGCTCGTCCAGCGGGCGGAGGTCCCGGACCCGCCGGGGCTGTGCCAGCGCCGTGACAGCCGCGGGAACTTTGCCTGGGGCGCGGCGCGGGCCGAGCCCGCGGGGCCGCGCTGCCCCCGCCGCCGGGACAAAGGGGCCGCGCCCCGGGCCGCCCGTGTCCCCCGGCACCCCCCCGGCGGAGCGGGGGCACCGCGGGGACAGCGATGCGGGGCCCGGTGCTCCCGCCCGCCCGTCGGGCCCCGCCGCTCACCATCCGGGAACTCCCGGTCGCTGATGTGCTGGAGGTGGGGGCCGCCGCCGCCGGGATCCGAGTCCCCCGACTCGGCCTCCGCCGACCCCGAGCCGCCGCCGCCGCCGCCCGCCGCCGCCCCCGCCGCCTGATACGCGTCCGCCCAGCGATCGGGCCCCGGCGCTGCCCCGCCGCCGCCGCCGCGAGCCCGGCTGAGCTTGGGGCTGGCGTCCGGGGATACGCAGCAGGTGACGGTGTTGCCCATGGAGCTCGGCGCTCCCCCGCCGGGCCCCGGCTGCGCGGTCC